GAACCCTGTAGTGAGTTTGTAGAAAATTTTAAGTGGAAATTCATATTAATGCCACAGTTTTTGGATATCAAATTATTACTGTCTGATCATTGGATTGGAAAATTTTCACAGTAATTTTATGATTTAAAAAAAAAAACTAGTGTTTTTGCGTGAACGTGAATTAAATTATGCTAGATATAAATTTAATTAAACGCATATTAAGTTGTGGCGGTTCATTCCGCTGTGGCGACCCCAGATTAATAAAAGGACTAAGCCAAAAAGAAAATTAATGAATGTACATTAAGTAGTTAGATATTGCACATTTATTTACATTTTAAATAACAAATAAAATTGTAATTTATAAATTGTTGAAGCTCTCCTGTTAAAGTTTTCTTATCCCAAGCATTTATTCATTCATTTATTTTTATTTTCGGCTTAATCCCTTTATTAATCTGGGGTCACCATAGTGGAATGAACTGCCAACTTATCCAGCATATGTTTTACCCAGCAGATGCCTTTCCCATCACTAGGAAACATCCACACACACTCATTCACACACATACACTTAGGACAATTTTAGCTTATCCAATTCACCTATATCACGTTTTTGGTCTGGTGGGGGAAACCGGAGCACCCGGAGGAAACCCACGCCAACACAGCAAGAACATGCAAACTCCACACAGAAATGCTGACTGACCCAGCCGGGGCTCGAACCATAGGTGAGACGATTGTGCTACCCACTGCGCCACTGTGCTGCTCTTGTCCCAAGTAGTGTTGGGGAAAGTTACCTTCAAAAGTAATGCATTAAAAAATTGAGTTTCCCAAAAAAGTAACTAGTAGCGTTACTTTTTAAGTAAGTAATGCATTACATTACTTTTGAGTTACTTTTGTGTTACTTTTTATAACCAGGCTGAGGCTTGATCTCTTTCAGAACTTGTTTTTTCTTTTCTTTCTTTTTTTAATAGAGGAGTTAACAATTGCAATTAACAACACACTGTATAAGCATACCTTCGTTTACCTTTAAGAAACACATAAAAAATAAGTCCAGAGCTATACATATACATTAAGGCTAAGCATTTAAATGAAAAGTAATCAAAATTGACATTTAGAACTTATAACCAATCTATTTTTTTTTTCGATTACTTTCCCTATCACATGTGGAGTCACGTGACCCTGCTCTGTTAAAGGCTGATTTATACTTCTCCAGCCACTTTGCAGACACATCTGATCTCTGGTCAAACAGGATTTATTTTCTCTTTTTATAAGAAAAAAATGACTTGGTTTTAGGCAATGTGTGTTTTAATTTCAGTTGTTCAACGTTGCTGTTCAATAAATAATCATAGACAGTAGATAGTGTGTGTTTTCTTCAATTATTTTCAAATCAAGTAACGCACCCTTCATTCAAAAATCTCTCACTTGTAACATGTGAGCTATTTATTATATAAAACCTGTCAGTGAGCTATGAGGGAAAAATAGATAAATAAAACAATCATTCATTAATCGTAATCAGGTTAAAAAGTTTAATTAATCGAGATTTAGATTTTAGGTCCAGCCCTACATGCCGTATATCTAAATTGTTGAAAGTTTAAAGTAATGTGTTTGCTACTTTTGTACTATTTGTCTTAAGTAAAATCACTGTTCATTGAGGCGATACCCTTTTCCTTTTCTTCAATGCAATCAAAATAATAAACACATTCTCTCATTGACTGCCGGATTCATTGTGACTACTTCAATTTGAATTAAGAAAAGTATTTTTAAAAAGCTAATTAATACAATTAAAAAGTAACTCACATTACATTTTCAAAAAAGTAACTTCTTGCGTAAGTAAAGGAGTAAATACTTACTGTATTTTTAAAAGTAACGCATTACAAGTGGGCGAGGCAGTGGCGAAGTAGGTAGTGCTGTCGCCTCACAGCAAGAAGGTCGCTGGGTTGCTGGTTCGAACCTCGGCTCAGTTGGCGTTTCTGTGTGGAGTTTGCATGTTCTCCCTGCCTTAGCGTGGGTTTCCTCCGGGTGCTCTGGTTACCCACACAGTCCAAAGGTGAACAGGTGAATTGGGTAGGCTAAATTGTCCGTTGTGTATGTGTGTGTGAATGTGTGTGTGGATGTTTCCCAGAGATGGGTTGCAGCTGGAAGGGCATCCGCTGCGTAAAAACTTGCTGGATAAATTGGCGGTTCATTCCGCTGTGGCGACCCTGGATTAATAAAGGGACTAAGGCGACAAGAAAATGAATGAATGAATGCATTACAAGAAACACGAGTTACATAACAATATAACTTTTCTAAGTAACGAGTAAAGTACAAGTACAAGTAAACAGTGTGGAAGTGTGGAAATGTGTGCGGTCAATATTTTCAACCCTCTTTAGAATTGCTTTTTTCGAATTTTCTGAAGAACAAACCACAATAATTTGTCTAATAAATCTAACCAGATTAACTTAGTTAGCCTTTAAATCGCAATTTAGGGTAAATTGCTGGCAGCTAGCTCTCTGCAACTCTCACATGGTCGCCAACTGAAGGTAAGCAGGGCTGCGCCTGGTCAGTGCCTGGATGCAGGAGACCATCCAAAAGGCTAGGTTGCTGCCGGAAGTGGTGTTAGTGAGGCCAGCAGGGGGCACTCAACCTGCGGTCTGTGTGGGTCCTAACGCCCCATTATAGTGAAAAGAACGCTATACTTCCCAGTGAGTGCCATCTTTCGGATGAGATGTTAAACTGAGGTCCCGACTCTCTGTGGTTGTGAAAAATCCCAGCATGGGACTCTTTTTGAAAAAGAGTGGGGGTTTAGCCCGGCATCTAAAGTTTGCCCACTGGCCTCTGTCCATCATGGCTTTCTAACCATCCCAATATCCTAATTGTCTTCATTGATTGTTCTCCTCTCCACCAATCAGCTGGTGTGTGGTCTGGCGCAATAAGGCTGCTGCCGCATTATCCAGGTGGATGCTGCACTCTGGTGGTGGATGAGGATATTCACCCCATTGTGTAAAGTGCTTTGAGTGTCTTGAAAAGTGCTAGATAAATGTAACGAATTATTATTATTATTATTATTATTATTATTATTATTAAATAGTAGTATATTGTAAACTATCTATCTAGTAAGATATTACAGTATGTATTACTGTTATCATGGCAAAGACAAAACATACTTAAAAATTAGTTATTAAAACTATGTATAAAAATATTTTTTTTTTGAAAAATTAAAGAAATTTTAAAATGTTTCGTTTTTTTTCTCCTCAGGATTTTCTACCTGCTGCTTGGCTTTTTGCTTCCATACCATGAAGCCATGGATGTTTGGTTCACTGATTGTTTGTGTTTTGTTGCTGCACACCAGTGGATTACAACAAGAGGACACTCAAGCCGGTTTGTTATTATTCAATATATTATTGGTTTGTTGTAAATGATTAATATTACCAATACAAAGCTGCATTTAAATGACACTATTGATGAATTCCTGTAGCTCAACCAGTTAGACATGGATTCAGTTGCAAGGGCTGCGCAATATTACCATAATTTTATATGACCACATAGAAAAGACTATTAATTTTTTACATTTTAAAGAATATGCTCAAAAATATAGTCATTCATATGTAACTATTTTTCTTACTTTTTATATAATCTAGCAAATATTTAATTCAAAATGTACAAATATAAATAAATATTAATGAAATTTAAAACACTTTTCTAAAAATATTAATAATCCCAGTCCTATTGTTAAATATCACTAAAGAACATGATAAATGTAAACATTGTTCTTTCAAGGTTGTAGCTTTCTCACCATACTCTTATTCACTTTTCTGTCAGCATCCTAGTGGTGGTGTGTAAGACTACTATGAATCCAAATTATGAAAAAAAAACATTGCTGTAAACCAGGAGTCACAAACCTTTTGGAAACTGGGAGCTACTTCTTGGGTATCGTTTAATGTGAAGGGCTACCAGTTTGATACACACTTCCTAATAACAAATTTGCTCAATTTACTTTTAATTATATGTTGTTAATATTTAATGATATTCATCAATGTGAAGACACTGATCATGTTAATGATTTCTCACAATAGTTGTTAGCAATGATTGGAAAGATAAATATCAACCAATGCAAGTGTGATTTAAAAAGAATAGCTAAAAAAATATTATATGCAGCTTACTGGTATGTGGTGCCATGGTAAGCTAATTTTTTAACAGGGCCACAGGCAACTCATGTGATCCTCGCGGGCACCATGTTGGTGACCCCTGCTGTAAACAATGTATTTTGCAACATCACTAGAAAATAAAGCTCAGCAGCACACCATAAAACAACAGACTTTTTATTTTGTCTATACAATAGATATTGTCATATTGCAAAGCCCTGGTATAAACTGAATGCAATGTAGATCTGTCAGATCCATAAACTTGAATGTACATTTTATGTCAACAATTATGAAAATATCTTCAGTAATTTTTCTTTCTCTATTCTGTGTTAAAAGGGACCCTATTGTGCCCAAATGTAAAATAAGTCTCTGATATTCCTAGAGTGTGTACAAGAAGTTTCAGCTCAAAATACCCCACAAATAGTCTTTTATAACTCTTTAAAACTGCTCCATTTAGATTTTAATGTCAATTGTGCCATTTTGGTGACTGTCTCTTAACATTTAATTGAGATTGTAGTCCCAGCTCTTTTCAAAAGAGGGCGGAGCTACAAAAGTGTCAGCATAGTGGCAGATTCCAAAACAAGACTAATGTCCCATGCTAGTGAGGGAGAGATCCTCACTAATGGGCGGGGCTTTTCCTCTCTGATGACACATACAAAGGAAGAATGTCAATCAAAGTGTTCCTGTAGACTGTTTTTTTATCAAGTGTGATTATAAAAAAAATATATGTATACATTTTTACTATTATAAGATGGCTATATTCACAGACTGTTGCTACACAATTGTTTAAACCCCTTATGTAAGTGATTTTTAAATAATAGGTCCCCTTTAATGTTGTAATTCAGGTAAACTCTGAACAAACCTGACACTATATATGCTCAAGAATTGTAACATGTGGATCATATGGGCAAATATTTTGCAGGTTGCAGCACAACACCCAATGACCTCGCATTCATCATCGATGGCTCCTCAAGCTTGGGTGTCCCTAACTTCGAAACAGCCAAGCGTTGGCTCATCAACATCACCAAAGGCTTTGACGTGAGCAGCAGACACACTCAGGTAGCGGTTGTCCAGTACAGTGACACCCCTCGACTGGAGATTCCTCTGGGAAAGCATCAGAACAGCCAAGAACTTGTCGAGGCGGTCGGCTCCGTCTCATACCTGGGGGGAAACACGCGGACTGGACGCGCCATCAAGTTTGCCACAGACCATGTCTTCGGGATGCCCAACCACACCTCCCAGTCTCCCAGAAACCGCATCGCTGTGGTTCTCACAGATGGCCGTTCACAGGATGACGTAGAGGACGCCGCTATGGAGGCCAGGGCGCAGAATATTGTTCTGTTTGCAGTCGGTGTGGGAAATGAAATCACTAATTCTGAGCTGGTGTCTATGGCTAATAAGCCAGCGTCTACTTACGTGCTGCATGTGGAGGATTACAACTCCATTGCTAGCATATGGGACCTGATGGAGCAGAAACTGTGCGAGGGTGAGTCCTGCTTGACTTTGGAACACATTTTTTGCTATAACCATTGACACTAGTGACATTTATAGGGGTGTAAACTTGGGTCAAACAGTGGTTTGCACTGTCGCCTCAAAGCAAGAAGGTTGCTGGTTTGAGTCATGGCTGTGCCAGTTGGCATTTGGAGTTTGCATGTTCTCCCTGTGTTGGTGTGGGTTTCCTCTGGGTGCTCCAGTTTCCCCCACAGTTCAAAGACATGCGCTATAGATGAATTGAATAAGCTAAATTGGCCATAGTGTCTGAGTGTGTGTGAATGTATGGGTGTTTTCCAGTACTGGGTTGCAGCTGAAAGGACATCTGCTGCATAAATATGCTAGATAAGTTGGCGGTTCATTCCGCTGTGGCGACCCCTGATAAATAAGGGACTAAGTTGATCGGAAAATGAATGATGAATAAACTGGGGGCCTAAACATGTTTGATCCTGAGTAGAGACTTTTGGTCATCGTCTGCAAAGTCATGATGCCTGCCTCCAAGCCAAGCTATTTTTTAACTGGTGACTGTTTAGTGTTGCATGGTTATGCAGATTCTTTGCTTGGATTATTGTTAAAGGGATAGTCCTCCCAAAATGTTGACACTTTTTTTTAAATCTATTTTGTTTCTTTCTTTTGTTGAACTCAGAAAGCAGATATTAAGAAAAATGCTGGTACCTGGGACTTCAATGGTATATTTTTCCTACCACGGAAGTCAAAGGGTCCTAGCAATTAAGATTCTTTAAAATATGTGCTTTTGTGTTCAACAGAAAAAGAAACTCATAAATGTTTAAAACTACATGAGAGTAAATGATTAGTAATTTAAATTTTTAAGTGAAATGTCCCTTCAAAGCGAGTGACGCAGTGGCTCAGTAGGTACTGCCGTCACCTCACTGCAAGAAGGTCGCTGGTTCATGCCTCGGTTGGGTCAGTTGGCGTTTCTGTGTGGGGTTTGCATGTTTTCCCTGAGTTTGCGTGGGTTTCCTCTGGGTGCTGCAGTTTCCCCCACAGTCCAAAGACATGCGGTACAGGTGAACTGAGCAGGCTAAAATGTCCGTAGTGGATGAGTGTGAACGAGTGTAAATGGATGTTTCCCAGATATGGGTTGCAGTTGGAAGGACATCTGCTGCATAAAACATATTCTGGATAAGTTGGCGGTTCATTCCGCTGTGGCGACCCCTGATTAAAAAAGGGACTAAGCCGTTAAGAAAGTGAATGAATGAATATCCCTTCAAAGCTGATTTGCATAATGTTTTAATAAAAAAAAAAATCAGCTGCAGAGGCTTAATGGAGATTTAACTGTTGTTAACTTTCAATAATACACTTTGTCTTACAATTCTCTCTTTCAATTACACTTACATTCAGCTGGGGTCTGTTCTTCATACATGGATTACTCAATTAGCTGGATTTGGTTGTTGACGATTTGACACGATCCAGGATCATTTCATTCTTCAAAACTCATCGGAAAGTTGTTGTTGTTCTGACACGTCTGTTCTTTGTACCTCGCTTAGTTGATCTATGATGATTTGACAGATCCTGGATCTTTTAATCTTAATAACTGATCTCTGGCTAATTTGATTCTTCAAACAAGCTCACAAATCAGATTAGAATGTCTGGATGAACTGATCTAAGATCTCTGCGTGTGTTGTGAAGTACTGATCTATCAATCCTCGAAATCATGATCAGCAATGCAACGATTGGCAGACGGCACCGCAGCGTAATGACATCATCTGATTAATATTCAATTATCCATGTGCGCAAAAGTAAACAGTTTATTAAGTATGGTATGCAATAACTTTCCACCTTTGTTGTGGGCTGCAGGCTTTACACTTTCATGTGTCGAGAGGATTTAGTGATTTATTTAGTTTTACATTTACTGTAGATTAGATGTTCTTTAAGCTTCTTAATCGGCTGAAGGAATAGCTGTTTTGCATCAAAACAGCGTTTTGATATCAGTAAAGGTGTCTGCAACGTTTTGTGAAGCATCAAATTACCATTTTCACGAGTTCACACCTACAGATGTTTAAGAAAAAGCGTAGTTGGCGTGCTTGTCCGGTGAGAGGGCTCTGAGCTCGGGGAAGACACCCCAACGCGTGTTATTCCCCTTATCAGGCAACAGAGAGAAGTTGAGATTCGAGCAAAGTATCTTGCCCGGCCCCAGAACGCTCCCCCCGGGTATGTAATGCTTAAGAGGTGAGGTGTCGGGGTGGTGGAGTGATGCAAGGCATAAGTCAGCGGTGGTGGAAGTCAGCATAAATTGTTCTTTCTTTAAAAAAAAAAACAGTCGAATGCTGTGCATGTCTATTATCATACACAAATTGAACTAAAGCTGGTACCTTAAAATAGTATGCAATGTGTCTAAAAATTCCATATTAACAAATGTCCACTTTGAAACCCTTGGGGAAAACCACCCCATCACAGCCTTTGTACTTTTAATTCAGAGTGCAGATCGCATAAGTTTATATATTTTAAGATAGTGTTTTAAAAAGTTTAAAACAAAAAAGGAACATTTCCTCACACTGAAGTGGTTCTACTCTTTTGTGGTTTTCTTTCTTCTGTTGAACACAAAAAAAAATGTAGTTAAAAATGTCGGAAAAAGCAGCCAATGAAATTCATCATAGCAAAAATTGTAAGGAAGTCAATAACTGTTTTTTTTTTAACAATCCTCCTTTTTTTCCATGTCAACATAAAGGCAGTGCGGTGCACCTCATGTTTTTGGAATGTAAATGCTTGTTCGATGTGATCGGCCACTTGGGTTGTAGTCTTTAAAAACAGCAATACTTTCTTGGCATATTAGACCTACCGCTTTCTGTCGGATATTGGTGAAGAAGTATTTTGTTGTCCATTCTTCCTTAAACACACGACATTCAGAGTAATTTTTTTTTGCCTGACTCATTTTCAGTCATTAACGGTCGAGTGTGTTCTAATTCTACTGGTTGCGCTAACTGTACCCTGTGCAATACTGCCATCAAATGGCGTTCACTTGTATTGCATCATTAATTTACTAATTCTGAAACCAAACCGTTACTAAGAAGCAGCATTTTAAAAACTACCTCGGGGGACGGATGCAAGTCTTCAGTGGCCCACCTCTGGTCTAGAAGAAACAACAGATATATTACATATTGAATTTTCCTCTTAATATACCCAGTTTTGGATTCTCTCATTCACAGAATCAGTGTGTCCATTGCGGATCCCTGGAACGGTGAACGATCAGAAAGGTTTTGATCTAATGAGCCTGATGAAGATCGAGCAGGTGGCTCAGAAAGTTCAGGGCTCTTTGATATCAGAGAGAGCATCACAACTCAGCCCTCGCATGGACATCACCCACAAAACCAGGTGATGTCTGTTTTACCACATCTCATGACTATGAACTGCATTTCAAGCACATGAAGTGTTTAAATGATGTAAATGAGATTTTGATTGAATTGTGGTTGGAAGTGAGTTGACTTTCAGCACGTGTTCCTCACAGAGAGATCTTTCCAGAAGGTCTTCCTCCAGCTTTTGTGTTTGTTGCCACTCTGCGCTTGAAGAATCCTGCTCACTGGATGAAGTTTGACCTCTTAAGAGTGTTATCTCAGGACGGGGTGAAGCAGATCGCTGTGACTGTGAACGGAGCCGACAAGTCGGTCATTTTCACCTGCACCAGCACTCTGAAGACAGAGCAGACCGTCATATTTAATGACCGAGGGATCAAGGTTTGTTTGTTTGTTTGTATACTTTATTGTCCCCTCAAGGGGAAATTTTCTGTAGACTCACCCAGCACTTCAGCAGGTTCTAACACAATAACAATTTAAAAGAATAAGTCAACATGCAAAAGAATTACACACACTATTGTACAGTGTTCGATAGTCTGATTGACACTGGAATAAAAGAGTTCTTAAATCTGTTCCGTTTCCAGCGGAAAGTTCTGTATCTTCTTCCAGAAGGTAAAAGTTCGTAAGATGGGAAGAGTACATGAGATGGGTTACTTAGATCTGTGGAGTTTCTGTGTCACCTTTAAAGGGATAAAACTTGCCTCACCGTTTACTGTTCCTCATGTGGTTTCAAACAATTATGAGTTTATTTCTTCTCTTGAACACAATCGAAGATATCTTGAAAAATGCTGGTTGGTGGCATATATTCACTTCCATAGTAGGAAGAAAAATACTAACAGGAATTCGATGGGTGACTTCAACTAGCATTCTTCAAAATATCTTCCTTTGTGTTCAACTAAAGAAAAAAACTCAAACACTTAATGGGTGAAGGGTGAGTAAATGATGACAGAGATTTCATTTTTGGGTGAACTATCCCTTTAAATCTCTTTTAAAAAAAAAGTCCCACTACCATTTTACATAGTATCTGTACTAAATAATATGCAACATTAGATTTATTGCGTCCCAAATTACCTAGTGTGTTGATAAAGGCTCTCAATTTTGTGGATTTTTTTTTTTTCAAAGTTTTTCATCAACATTACAGTAAATACTTTTTGAGTAATGTGGAATATGGGATATAGTTATGATTAGGCCTGTGCAGTATTGGAAAAATCTGATATTGCGATATTTAAATTTTTTTGCAATAAACATTGCGATTCTAATACAGTTTCACAAAATAGTTTGAATAGCACAACTTTTGAGCAGTCTATCAGTATTCAGGTACAGACATTGAATTACAGCGCAAAAAAAAAAATGCTTTTCTTACTTTGCTTTGTCTCGGTTTCATTCCAAACATCTAGAAATTCTTAGTTCAAGTTAAAAAAAAAAGTTTTATTTTCACCTTCAGAAGAAATAAGATAAGACAAAAAATAAAAGGTCAACTATAATTCAGACTCAACATTGCGTATCTTGTGATCTGACTATTGCTGATGCGCACATTGCGATATCGATGCTGGAACAATATATTGTTTAGCCCTAGTTATTATTAAAATATCTATACACGATGAAAATCAGTTGCAGTCAGAAATTGCAAGTAAATTCCACACGTAACTACTGATTAAATATCAAGTTAGATTTTGAATTAAGCAAAGACTGAAATAATGTTTTCTTCAATTTTAAAATGTACTCCAGTAATCTTTATTTGCTACTTTAAAAAGTCTCGTTTACAGTGAAGGAAGAATCTCAAAGCAGAAATTAAGGTCCCACTTTATATAGTGACCTTAACTAATATGTACTTACATAAGAATTAATAGTTTGTTACAATGTACTTATTGTGTAAATACATGTATTTACTGTCTACTTATGCTTGATTAAATACCAGTATGTAATTACATCTGTAATTAACTTTTGTAATTACATTTGTAAATACACTGTTGACCATCCCTTACACCTTAACCCACCCTTAAACCTACCCACGCCACCAAACCTGTTCATAACCCAACCTCTATCCCAACTCAAAGGCACCACAAGTGTTCTCAAATACATTATAAACACAGTAAGTACATTGTATTGATTTTTTGATGTAAGTACATAGTAGTTAGGGACACTTAATATAAAGTGGGACCGAAATTAAAAATGAGAAAATATAAAATATTTCATTCTACATCTGCATTTGTCTAATACAATTTATTAACACTCAGGTTAATACTTCACATGTAATGACAATTTTATTTACATAACCAGAAAAGCGCTATTTAAAGTACTTATAAAAATGAGTTGAAACAACACAATTCTTAATGTTTTCTGGGGACAAATTATTTGTTTTATGTTCAATCCGCTTTGACAATTAAGTTAGCTTATTCTATTTGTGTTGGGGAAACAAGAAGGGATTGTATGGAAGCCAGCCTTTTTTTACAGTGAATGTAAGGAATTATTATTGTTATTATTATTATTAAACATATGATTTATGTTTCCATAGAGGCTCTTTGACACGGATTGGCACCAGCTGAAGTTCCTAGTGAAGCCCAGACGCATCACTTGTTTTGTGGATGGAGCATATGTAGAAGAGCAGCTCCTAGATCCAGTTGTTCCCATCTACATTAACGGAAAGACTCAGGTGGCCAAGAAAGTCAACATTGAAACAACCGTCCCTGTGAGTGACCTCTTTTTGGCACCCCTGCCTCATCACCAACTTAAGTAAAAGCCTGTCACCATATTATGGTCCAGCACATAAAAACTCTCTCTTTTATATGTTTGTTCTCTTGTCCCAGATTTTACTCCAGAAGTTGCGTCTGTACTGTGACCCTCAGCAGAGTGAGCGAGAGACGGCATGTGAAATTTATTCTGTGGTAAGACTGTATTAGCTCACTGTTGAGTTATGCGACCTTCCATTTGACATGATTTAGCCAGGAAGGACATGTTTCTATCAAACAAATCTAAAGAGTCTCAACCAGGAATGCTCAAACTTTTTCTTGTGAAGGGCTTACACCAAACTTGATTGAGGGTGGTGGGCTGAAGGTAAAAATACCAAATATAAGTAGCCATGGGTAATTTTCTAATGTATTTAATATTTAAAGATAACTAGAAAATATTCCTTTATATTAACTAATGCAGTATTCATTTATTTTCCTTCGGCTTAGTCGCTTTATTCATCAGGGATCGCCACAGTGGAAGGAACCGCCAACTTATCCAGCATATGTTTTAGATAGCGGATGCACTTCCAGCCGCAACCCAGTACCGGGAAATACCCAAACACACTCATTCACACACATACACTACGGACAATTTAGTTAATACAATAGGGCATGTCTTTAGATTGTGGGGGAAACCAGAGCACCCGGAGGAGAACTTGCTAACTCCACACAGAAATGCCAACTGATCCAGCCAGGACTCGAACCAGCAACCTTCTTGCTGTAAGGCAACAGTGCTAACCACTGAGCCACCGTGATGCTAATGCATTACTCATTCATTTTCTTGTCGGCTAAGTCCTTTTATTATTGTGGGGTTGCCACAGCAGAATGAACCGCCAACTTATCCGGGACATATTTTACACAGCGGATGCCCCTCCGGCTACAACCCATCTGTGGGAAACATCCACACACTCATGCACACTCATTTTTGTTGGGTTATATAGGAAATATTTGAGTGATTTCCTTCCCACTTTAATTGATCTTTCTCTTTCTTTTACAGGATGATGAAAGGGTAAGTTACTAGCTTAATGTGTTCATTGCTTTAATGTTTTGTGTTTTAGGTCTTATATAATGTTTTGTGTCCTCAGTGTCCTTCGGATCGCTCTCCTTCTGTAGAAGGTTGTGATTGTCCTAGTGGAAAACCTGGTTTGCCGGGTTTACCTGGGCCTATGGTGAGACAACAAAACCTGCATTTTTAAACACAGTTTAAAGGATTTTTCCTTACAAAAATGTGCATTTTGTCATCATTTACTAATTCAGACTAAACTTGTTATACATCTTTTTTCATTCTGTCATATTAAAAAAAAGAATACATTTGGATAAATTATTGGAAAGCGACTTCTTTAGGATTTTTAAATTTATTTTCTATGCTTGTCAATTTGCAACATTCTTCAAAATATCTTCTTTTGTGATCAACAGGAAAAATACACTGTTTAAAGTTTAGAATCACTTGAGGATATTTAAATTGTGAATAAATATTCATTTTTGTGATCGTTTCCTTTGTATGAATTTAGGGTTTCAGGGGGGAGAAAGGCAGAGAGGGACCTCCGGGGCCTGATGGTAAACCTGTAAGTATAGCAGAATTATTAGTGCATTTGGTCAGGAGATTTCGATATATTTATAACTCTCGTGATCTATGTCCACCAGGGTAAAGCAGGGGAGAAAGGAACATCTGGAGAGCCTGGTCGAGATGGACAGAAAGTGAGTGAAACCATATACATACAGTTGAAGTCAAAATTATTAGCCCCCTTCGATTATTTTTCTTTTTAAAATATTTTCTAAATGATGAGAGCAAGGAAAGTTTCACAGTATGTCTGAAAATATTTTTTCTTCTGGAGAAAGTCCTATTTGTTTTGTTTCGGCTAGAATAAAAGCAGTTTTTTATTTTTTAAACACCATTTTAAGGACAAAATTATTAGCCCCTTTCAGCTATATTTTTTCTCGATAGTCTACAGAACAAACCATCGTTATACAATAACTTGCCTAATTACCCTAACCTGCCTAGTCAACCTAATTAACTTAGTTAAGCCTTTAAATGTCACTTTAAGCTGTATAGAAGTGTCTAGAAAAATATCTAGTAAAATATTATTTACTGTCATCATGGCAAAGATAAAACAAATCAGTTATTAGAAATGAGTTATTAAAACTATTATGTTTAGAAATGTGTTGAAAAAAAATCTTCTCTCTGTTAAACAGAAATTGGAGAAAAAATAAACAAGCGCTCTAATAATTCAGGGTGGCTAATAATTCTGACTTCATCTAAAGATGTTTCATTCCTCTATGCAATGTTGAGACATGTTATAAAAACACACTGATTTGTACTGTGAGTGATAATATTTTTACATATGTAGATATTTATGAAATAACATTAGCTAATAACCCTCAGCTCTATGCTAATATTTTATTGTGCCAATGTTTAATTCACAGGGTGAAGCAGGTGAAACAGGACAAAAGGGGGAGCGAGGACTGGAAGGACCCAAGGTATGTGCATTTTGGGAGTTTTGTTCAAATAAAATAATAAATATATGTACAGCTGAAGTCAGAATTATTAGCCCCCCTTTAAGTTTTTTTTCTGTTTTAAATATTTCTGAAATGATGTTTTACTGAGCAAGGAAATTTTCATAGTATGTCTGATAATATTTTTTCTTGTGAAAATAGTCTTATTTGTTTTGTTTCAGCTAGAGTAAAAGCAGTTTTTAATTTTTTTTAAAGCCGTTTAAGGACAAAATTATTAACCCCTTTAAGCAATTTTTTTTTCGATAGTCTACAGAACAAACCATCATTATACAATAACTTGCCTAATTACCCTAACCTGCCTAGTTAACCTAATAAACCAAGTTAAGCCTTTAAATGTCACTTTTAGCTGTGTAGAAGTGTCTTGAAAAATATCTAGTCAAATATTATTTACTGTCATCATGGCAAAGATAAAATAAATCAGTTATTAGAAATGAGTTATTAAAACTATTATGAATAGAAATGTGATGAAAAAAATCTTCCTTCTGTTAAACAGAAATTGTGAAAAAAAAACGGGTCTAATAATTCAGGGGGGCTAACAATTCTGACTTTAACTCTATATATGTATGTAGTGATATGTTTATCAAAAGTAGTATATCGATTTTTCTATTTTCCCCCTAATATTTAATAGGGTGAAATGGGACCACCGGGGCCACCGGGGCCACCGGGGCCTTCAGGACCAGAAGTGAGTTTCAAACTTTTTAATAAATGATTTACATTTTCCCTCAATATTATGAATAAAGGTTACGTACAGTAATTTTCTCTTTATAATGAAAAAAAGCAAAAAAATTATTCCATTAAAATCTCCTTTAGGGCACAGGCTTTTCCAAATTGGAGATCCAAGACTTGGGGATTCAAGGAAGCATGGTAAAGTCTTAATAAATCAACTGAAATTGATTACTAACATTAATATTGCTAATAAAAACTGTCGTGCTCTTATAGGGAATCCCAGGGGAGCCAGGAGAAACGGGACCACCCGGAATTCCCGGATCAAATGTACATAATATGCTTTTAGAATCTCCTCCTGAATGCTCATATCATGCATAAGTGATCATGAGATTTTTTTTCTAATTTACAGTGTTGATTTTTTTTTTGAAAATGGAGGTAAATTTAAATTGAATCGAGACATGTTGACTTATTTTCTGTCTTCCTCAGGGTGAACCTGGGCCACCTGGTCTACCTGGACTTGAAGGTCCGAAGGTAAGACTGATTTTACATTTAAATTGTCTCCTAAACTATAATATAATTAAACTATCATTATTTGTTTATTTATTTTTATTTAGACCGTCACAAAAATGGGGTCATACTAGACACTATAAGCATAACACAGCTTCTGAAACTCTAAAAGTGCTTTTTTTGGTGCACTGCAAAAAATTATTTGCTTGCCTTGATTCTTTGACTTCAAATATCTTGAAATTCTTAAAACAAGAAGCATTTTCTAGACAAGTAAAAAAGTCTTGTTTTAAGAAATAATAGCTAACTCTAATAATAGAGTTTTTCATTAAAAAAGCTAAATAGTCTGCCAATGGAATGAGCAAACTAGTTTTTCTTTTTGACATAAGATTATTTTGCTTGCCTTATTGGCAGATTATTTAGCTTGTTTTAAGGAAAAACTCCAAAATTTTGACATATTATTTCTTTAAGCAAGACAATATTCTTGCTTGTCTAGAAAAGGTTTCTTAAATTAAAATCTTTTAGATATTTGGACTAGAAACAGGGCAACATATTTTTTTCAATGTGTATTTAACCTTGTTTTTTCAGTACAAATATTAAAACATTCTTCATTAAAAAAGAAAAATTACTAGGTAAGCAAGATGCCATTAAACATTTCTATCTTGTTGTCAGATAAATGTCCACTGTAAACATACAACACTAACCTGAATTCACCAAGTAGGACATGTTCCTGCATTAACATCTACGTAGATCCTGGAACAACATTCCAATCAGCCAATCAGAATTAAGTAATTTGTTTTTCGGTTATGTTAAGTGTAAGCTTACGGTTAGATTTATGCATTTTTACATGATTGTTATCCAACTGGTATTTCCCTGTGATTTTGGGAGTAATGTAGAGTTATGGTTGGGTTTAGGGGTAGGTAATAGGTAAAATCTTTGAACAAAAATGATGTTCCAGGATCAACATAGATGTTAATCCAGGCTTGCTTCATCTTTGGCAAAATCATAACATGCTTAGGAAAAAACATTACCTGATGCATCATTGGTAATATTTCCGGAAGATGACCATGTTACAGTTTAGCAAAATTAATTCACACCTCCTGAAGTGATGTGCGATGCGCCTTCGCCGTTTGCAATGCATTAAAACATTGTTTTCAGACGCAGCCGCGCTTCATTCTTAAAATGTATAGTTTGTCCAAAGTGATACAAACTATAAAGTATTTTATGAGCAGGGATACAATCAGTCAGCTCAGTCGTCCCACCATAGTCAAAAGTGACGTTTTGTGTCTGCCGGTTTGTTTACTTGTTTAGTTCCATTGGCATTTTCCCGCACGTTAATTCTGACCAATCGAAAAGCAGTATAGGAAATACGTTCTATAACATCTGGCCAATGAGTAATGTGGATTTTGTCACATGACTGCATTTTGGTTCTTTTCAACTGGTTCAAACAAAAACAATCAGTGTGGTGTGAAAACCCGGCAGAAAAAGGCTACAATGTATCATTTATTGCCCTTGCTCCAGACCAAACGAACCAAACCACAGATGTGAAAGCACCCTGAAACGCTTTTTTGGACTAAAAAAATCGAACCTGGCACGAATCTATTTATGACGAACGAAAGTTTTGCATGCAGTGTGTCAATACGATTGACAATATGAAGTTGAATTATTTTTTTAACGTGCAAAAATTATGGATTCAGTGTACAATAACCTTAAGATATATATATTATATATATATTTGTTTTAAGCATAATCTCAGATGATTTAGAAAATTTGTGCATGAGAATGAATCTATTTTCTGTTTCAGTACATAGCATAGGCCATCATCATAAATTACTATAATGTGTAAATGCACATTTGATTTGGTCTGTATTTTTAGGGAAGCCCCACCCATCTTTCTTTACCATGAATTGAAGAGAAATTCATTAGTTATAGTTTGTTATTGGAGATGTAAATCAATGGAGCTACTTTCCAGTTTCTGGTTTTCAACATAGACAAACAATCCCACAGACTTTCAACTTCACACCCGCAATCTCAAAGTATTTCAAGCAGCACAGGGTGTAAGCCTTCAGATGTGTTAGGGATGCCATCAGACATCCTCTCACATGTGAAAGTGGTGGACTATTTTCGGCATAAGGGCATATTTGTGGCCTTGTCGTTGATTCTTTTTACCCGTCTCTCTCTGACATTTTTCTTAGCTTTTTGCCAGCAGGAGACTGTCGACTTGCCCAACGTCTATATATAGGGACTTAAACGCCCAGATTATGATGGGTCTATGACACAGTGCGCATTTTGAGCTGCTCTCTGCTCATTATGAATATAAGGTCACATGCCAGACAAATTACTGTGTGCTGCATGCATTTAACATCATTTAGGGGACAGAATTATTGAATACAAATACTGGTATTATGATAGATTAGAGGTGAATGTTGCTTTATGAAGTTTGTGGTTATGTTTTCAGCAGGATGTTGACTGTTTTTAAAAATAAACCTGAGATTGGCAATATTATTGGATACTAAAAACATGTATGAAGCATATTGTACACCTTTGGTCTTGTAGGCCAACGCTAATGAGATTTTTATTCCTCAGATGCTTTTTAAAGTCCAGGGTGGTTTTAAAAGGTTTACACACTAGAAGATTAATTGCGTTTACTAAATATTTTTTAAGGTATGTGGTTGCAAACAGTTAATACGGGCTGAATTTATACAAACAAATCAAGTTTAGAAATGTTCAACTTAATTTGTTTGTTTAAATCCAGGCCTTATCAATTGTTTGCCACTATTTACCTTAAAATATTGAATAAATCCAACAAAACATTTGTTTTCAGTGCACTAAGCTTCAGCTTTGTCTCAGATATTCATTCATTCATTTTCCTTCGACTTAGTTCCTTTAATCATCAGGGGTCGCCACAGCGGAATGAACCACCAACTAATCCAGCAAATGTTTTACAAAGCGGATGCCCTTCCAGCTGCAACCCAGTACTGGGAAACATCCATACACACGCTTTCACACATACACTATGGCCAATTTAGTTTATTTAGTTCACCTATAGCACATGCATCCAGAGGAAACCCACGCCAACACAGGGAGAACATGCAAACTTCTCATAGAAATGCCAACTGGCCCAGCCAGGACTTGAACCAGCAACCTTCTTGCTGTGACGACAGTGCTAACCACTAAGCCACCTTGTCGCTCGTCTCAGATATTATTCCATACAAATCTTAAAAATAGATATAAAACATTATCAGTGAAAGTGTGTTCAGATCATTTGCTCTTGGAAGAATTTGACAAAAAATATTAGAAAATAATTGAGCTCAATTAATTCTGATTGCAGACTTTATACTTTCTTGGAAAATCTGAACAAACTTTAAGAGATTTTTGTTAAAAGTCTAAAAAAACAGAAGATACTAGGGTTATCTTTATCTCAGAAGAATCGTCTCCAGTTTACCTAGTATATATGCAAACCTCCATTTACTCTCCACTTGCAATCTCACTAGCTTGGATAAATATTATTGACCTTATTCTTCAAGTACAGTACAAGTGGGTGCTGCCATTGGATTTTTTTGGCTCAAGACTTCTGGTATCATACCCTTCCATATATTTGTAGACATTAAAAACAGCTTGACATGCTGCTTGATGATGCAAACTTGTATTTTCTTATTTCATAATTCAACTTTTTATGTATAGTCATAAACACACTTGTTTGTACACTGAAAAAAATACACTTTGAACCAAAATTACTGTAATTTGTCACAGCTAAATATTTTAGTTTTTCTCAAAGTACGTTTTATCTTGGTTCAAACTAAAACATTTTATTTAACCTAAATCAAAAAAATATTTATTGTGGTCAATAAACAAAATAACATTCACTCAAAGTAAAATATTGGTTACTATAGAGACTTTGGACCAATTTTGCTTTTGACCAATTAAAAAAAATACTGTAATAAAATGTCAAAAATTCTGTCAAATTGTAGTTTTTACTTGGTTGAAAGTGAAAAATGCCATTTAATATTATTCACAATATTTCTGCATGGGTGACACAGTGGCTCAGTGGTTAGCACTGTTGCCTCACAGCAAGAGGGTCGCTGGTTTAAGTCCCGTCTGTGTCAGGTGGCATTTGGAGTTTGCATGTTCTCGTGTTGGCGTGGGGAGGTTTTCCCCACAATAGGTGAATTGAATAAACTAAATTGGCCGTAGTGTATGTGTGTGTGAATGAGTTTGTATGGATTGATTCTGCTGTGGCGACCTCTGATTAATAAAGGGACTAAGCCAAAAAGAAAATAAATGAATGATTAAATCAATTAATTGAATTACTTTGGTTCAACTTAAAATCAAAATCCAAGTAAAGTTGTAAACTATTTCTAAACTATTATAAATACATATAATGTTATTGCTAGTTATTTTATTTTCAGTAATGGTGCTTCCAGTATGGCTATACATGTTAATCAAGATAGTAATCAAACTGGCATTAGAAAGAAATTAAACCGAAAGCACAAAATCTGTTTACTTAAATCTGTTTTATGTGGTCACATGACATGAAATCTGCTGGTTTAAAGTAAAAATATTACTTTGAAGAAAAGCTTATGTTTTTAAGTTTACCTATAGGATGATGTTTTTTGCTTTAAGACAAATTGAATAAAACCGGCTATAATCAGAAACCATAATTTTTCACTCAACCCAACATGAAAATTTGGGTTTACCCGTTTTCATTCATTTATTATTCCTAGTAATTTCTTTCATGGGCAGCTGAGTCAGAAGATCTAAACAATTGCAAAACTGAGCGCTCTTTCCTATTACAGAATAAGGTCGATAGAAATACTTTATATTTATTGTTAATGTGTATTTCTCAATGGTTGTGTCTTGGAGATGTAGGTTTTTAGACATGCACTTGAAGTCTGTCAGTCAGATCTATTTTCAGGCTGCTGCATCTGTCTCGGCATCTGCGTGTCGCCCGCTCCCTAAAAATTAGTGCCGCCCTGCCATTTACTGGCTCATTAAATCAAGTCTGTTTATCAGTAAAGCGCTTTGAT